ACCCTCCAGAAAATAAAACTGAGACAAACCAGGAAACCTCCTCACAAATCATTCCAAAGGTAGGAATCACGAAGTTTGGAGGTGAACCCTGCACTTTTCCTATGGCTCAAAAAGTTTTAGACTTAAAAAAGTCTTTAGAAACTCAAAGAAAAGTTTTTTAAAATCAAAGAGATGGTTTTGAAGAGGAAAGAAAAGGTTTTCAAAGCAACTGGGATAAACTATTGAGTGAATTTAATCAGTTGAGCGAACAATTTCATTTACTCAAAGTTTCCCAGTCAACAAGTGTTTCTGCATAAATCACTACTCACTCAACTCAAAACAAAACTAAGTTTTCAAAAGAGCCAGTCACTCACGCCTCGTCTCCTTTGGTCACAGGACACGACGTGAAAAGGAGATGGGAGAAGAGAGAAGAATGACAAGAAAGGAGAAAGGAGATAGCCGAAGGAAACAAGAAAGTTTTAGAATACAAGAAGACTCACTCTAATTCTAGTTCTCTTTTTTATTCTAAAAAACCTTGTAGATCTGCCTCAGTCAAAAAATCTTGTAGTTATTCAGCTTAGAGTCCTAAGATGAATGCGTCTGTGTCAACTTTTGAACAATGTTCGCTTCCTTTAACTGCAAATGTGATGTGAATGCTGCAAGAATGAGAGGAGAGGGCAAACGAAAACAAATCAAGAATAGAACTTTTGAGGGTAGCTATCAATTACCTAATCTGAAATATTCCCTCAAAGTTCATTCAAGGAAACATCTCAAAAGACTCTCAAAAGAAAAAATTCTTAAATCACATCACTCATACCAGCCATTCACACACAAAGCAAATGTCAATATCTCTCCCACAGGAAATTTGAAATGGGTTCCTAAGAACGATCCAAACAAAGGACAATCATTATGTGAAAAAGCTGCTGACCTTGGATCACAACTTAAAAATAAAGTCAAAAAGATATTCTCTGTTAATAAGGGAGGACCCATCCTGAGGTGGGTACCTAAGTCTCTCTGATTGTTTTGCAGGTCGGTCACGTGTGGCACCTAGATTCGGGATACTCAACCCATATGACCGGAATCAAGCACCTATTGAGCAACTTCACCAACTGTTACGGAGAGAACGTAAGGTTCGGGAATGACGCCTCATCTCCTATTCTTGGCTATGGAGATGTTGTTTGTCCAAGTGTCACAATAAAGGTTGTTTCTTATGTCAAAGGGTTCAAACACAATCTTCTGAGCGTAGGACAATTTTGTGAAAATGGGATGGAAGTAAAGTTCATAGCCAAACAATGATGCGTGATGGACAGCCTTGGGAACTCATTATTAATGTGTACTAGGACATCAAACCTGTACACGATTGATCTAAAAAGTGTACAATCCACCACTTCCATCTATCTGCTGTCCAAAGCTTCTACAGAACAAAATAGTCTATGGCTTATGCGTCTCTCTCATCTGAACTTCAAAAATCTGTCCATCTTATCCTCCAAGAAACTTGTAAAAGGACTTCCATTGTTAAAGTCTTCCGCTGAAAACCATTGTAGTGCCTGCAAATTGGGCAAGATGACAAGAAGCTCACACGAGTCCAAACCTGTTCCATCCTCCTCGCATCTGCTACAGCTGATTCACATGGACTTGTGTGGACCTATGAGAGTTCAAAGCATAAATGGTCGCAAGTACACACTTGTCATCGTTGATGATTACTCTCGGTACACATGGACAAAATTCCTACGTACAAAGGACGAAGCTGCGGACACCATAATCACTTTCATCAGAACCATTCAGAATCTGCTGCTGAAGAGTGTCAGAATCACCATTACAGACAATGATACTTAGTTCAAGAATCAGGCCCTTACTACATTCTATGAATCTCAAGGTATCACACAACAGTTTTCAGCAGCCAAGACTCCCCAACAAAATGAAGTCGTTGAAAGAAAGAACAGGACTCTTGTCGAAGCAGCACGCACCATGCTTATACAATCTAAACTGCCTCATTTCATGTGGGCAGAAGCAATTAATACTGCGTGCTTCACACAGAATAGAACATCCATACATAAGCGCTTTGACAAGACACCATACGAAATCCTTTTCAACAGGACTCCAGATATCTCGTTCTTTACAGTCTTTGGCTGCAAGTGTTTTGTTCTTAACGACCGCACTGACAGAAGCAAGCTTGACCCCAAAGCCAGAGAAGGTGTTTTTATTGGCTACTCTCTCCAGTCAAAAGCTTACAGAGTCTATTTAAAAGAGAAAAGAACCGTCCTAGAGAGTGTGAATGTAACATTCTATGAAATGGCGGATTTTGCAACAGAACACTTCCAGACCGACTTCACCTCTTCTGAAACACAACAAACTTCTGATGAAGTTGATCATCAAACTGCGTCTGAGCGTATGATTCTTGATTCACTCTTACAACAATTTTATGAGAATCCAAGTTCTGAAACTGCATCACCTCCACCACAACCTGCTGCCACAACACTGATCCCACTTCTACTCAGCCCAGATGACGTACCATCTACACCATCCACTCCTCAATCCCATCAAGAAGAAGTTGAGGATCACAGTCTTGAATCAACTCCGTAATCACCCCCCCCCCCCCTACACACCAGGACCACTCCAGAAACCTCCATTCCTTATGAAGACCGGGATCAACCACTCATCACTCCTATCCCTCTGGTTCATGAGAGGAAATGGATGAAGGCACATCCTATTGAATAAATAATTGGTGATCCGAGTCAAGGGGTACACACAAGATCCGTTATAGTGAATGAATGTCTCTTTGTGTGTTTCTTAAGCCAGTCTGAACCTACAAAGGTTTCTGAAGCACTACTTGATTCTGATTGTGTGATTGCAATGCAAGATGAACTTAATCAATTTGAAATGCCTGGGGTGGGCTCCAGCCCACCTTAGCCCCTACTATGATCCACCCTTGACAGTCTGATACATAGCATATACTTTCTGTTCTATTTTAGAAAATAATTAGTACTCTTAAATGATAATTTAATCATCAATATTAAAAACAACACTTTTATATCATCACAATTATCATCAGTGACTTTATTAAATTTTATATCAAGCAAAAGTATTTTTCAAAATGTACCGGAGGTAGTAGATATAATTGTTTCATTTTTTAATTTAGAACTTAAGTCATGACGGAGGTAGTAGAAATAACTCCAAACACTCCCCAAAAAAGCACACCTTAAGTGTAGAGGGATTAGTGGAAAAGTTTCTTTTCTTAAGAAGCTAAAAACTAACTTGGAAGAATTATGCCCAAAAAAGGTCCAATGGGCTTGTAGTATCATACATGAGCATAATATGTTGAAGGGTAATTCTATTCACATTCTGCAACTTGTTATTTACAATCATAAATTTTATTATTAATAAAAATACATTATTAAAAATATAATTAAAACTTAATATTAATATAATCAAACATCATCATACATTTATAATGATTTCACACACTTCGTTTATAATCACAACATTGATATTAATCGTCATTTAAGTCTAAAACTATATAATATATATTAGGATATATATGATATATATAAACATATATGTAGGGGTAGGGGAGGGTTCAAATACAAAGAGGTCTTCCCATGCAAAGTGAGAATTAATCTCGTGCGTTCATTTTGAGATCTAATGGCTCAAAATGAGCCAAAAGTGAACTAAATTTGATCAAAAACGCGGTGGCAACTTCGTAATTAAAACGAAGTTTTTTGCCATCGCGAAAAAGTGAAATAGAAACACGCAAAAGTGCAACGCTGAGAAGAAAAAGTGCAATTGTTCGCACTTTGCACGGGAGAACCTCTTTTTATAAGATCTCTTCCCTATATATGTATGTATGTGTGTGTGTGTATATATATAGACACACACACACACACACACACACACATATATATATATATATATATATATATATATATATATATATATATATATATATATATATATATATATAGGGGTGAGTTCTAATACAAAGAGATCTTCCCATGAAAAGTAAGAATTAATGTAATATGTAGCAAAAGTGCATATGCAATTCATGTGTGTATTTTTATGGAGATTTTCCCATTATTCATCTAAAGAATACATAATTAATGTATAAATATGGAGATTTTATTTACTAATCCTATATAAATTTGATTTTTTTATATAATTCATGTGTGTATTATCACATTCTACATCTACTAATTAATCCTTCAATCAATGAATATAATATTGAAAAGTGTACAAAAGTTATTGTTATTAAAAACACTTATGTAAGTACATTAAAAAAATTATAGTATATTAAATCTATTAAAATAATACTTTATTACTAAATGCTCAAATAAGCATTTAAATAACATGATTTGTAAGATTTAAGTAGGTGGTTATAGAATTACCAATATTGATACTACAGTACTACTATTAATAACAATTTTAGTTCCAAGTGATGTACAAGATATTGTTTTCAAATAACAACATTTTGTGCATATTTTGGTCAAATTAGTACGCATCATTTAAAATTTCAAAACTGTAGTCAGCTATAAAACTCTAGAGTGTAGAATTTGCTTGTAGACTTGTAGTTTACTAGCAACATAAGAAAGGGTTTAAACGATTTTTTATACGGAGTAATTTGATATGATCTTATAAAAAGATGTCATTTTTACTCTACCTTTTTCAAATTTTCAGCAAAAAAAGATAAGTCCGTAAAATTAACAGTTCAACTTTATTTTGAGTATATATTAAATTATTCAAAACCAACTAATTATTTCCTTGTTTGTTGTATACTCCCACAACCCAAATTGTAAAAAACATTTATTATTCACTTGATCAACATAAATCACTTTTAATCATTTACTTTGTATATCAAAAGTTTATGCAATTTGAATTTTTTTTGCAGGTTTTGTAGCGTTTTTAATGTAATTTCTGAATATATAAATTTTATTTTCTAAAACGAACTTAAGTGTTAACATGGATCATTTTGCTTTATCGTCGGTCAAACATCTTAAACCTTAAAATATTATACGAATCGAGACGGAGGGACAGAGGGAGTATCTTATAAACATTTACAAGATAAGCTTTAATTGAATAAGTAATAGCGACAAACTCCACTGAATGGACAGCAAAATAATTTTCTTATAATAATGATTAATTGATAACAATAGTGTGCAATAGGAAAAATGAAAATGATGGAGGAGCAATAATAGAGAGGGTGAGCCTTTGCACACACCACCGCATTCTCTCTTTACATTCATTCTATCCATCAAGCAAAAATCACGGATGGGCCGAGAAGTAGGCCAAGAGGCCAACTAATGGAGCATTAGTATATGTAGTGGGCTCGGACCCCTGGTACAAAGGCCTCCAGTCTGGAAAGTTATCCGTAATGTTTGGCCCACCAACCACTGCTCCAATCAGCTTATTCGGGTTGGGATTTTGGCTCGAGAAGTATTGGGTTCCCTCTCTGCAACCAATATGGGTCGGGTGGATGTTCACCGACGGTATCGAACTGCCCCGGTGATGGATCCTTTGCGGGTAACGCGCTCCATACCCTACCATGTAGGACATCCCCATGGGATTATCCCCAAGAATGTAATCCACCTAAAAATATATAGGATCATGATGTAAATCTTCATTTCATAGGATCGAACTTTTCATTCAAAACAAGCTTAGTCACAAATTGAATTGTGTAATAATTAAAATAAACAAAGAAGTTATTATACTCTAAATAAATTAGATGAATATACTGTATAGAAGAGTAATAATCCATCATTTTCAAATGAAGTCAAAGATTCACTAATTTAGTACACATGATAAAGTCACAATCATCCATACAATTTTCGGCACAATTTTCATTGTGAATCATCAGCAAACAGTCTATATGTGCTTAGGCACATTGGTAACGATGTGTACATCAACCATCTTACCCCATCGTAGGGGGAGTCATAGCAGCGTTGGGGTAACATTGTTGTACTGTCGTGATCAGTTTTAAGTTTGAACTATTTTCCTGTAAAATTTTATTTTTATTTTATTAATAAAATCTCCGTATTTTAAATTCAAAATTTCCATAACTCAATACATTTAGCCAAGGTTACAATTTCGACCATAACTTCATTAATTTCAATAAATTTAAGCAATTTAAGTGTTACCAAATAATAATTTCTACAACTCAAAAATAGAGAGTGCCAAATCAAATTAGACTCACAAATCGAATATCGAATGTAGATTGACAAGTCAAATTTTGTAAAAAGTTCTTTTAATCTTGAAGTAAATAATTCCATATTTGTGATTAAGTTTCAATGTGGAGAGGTTAAAAAACAAGAGTGGAGAGCTAACCTGGCGTTTGGCTAAGCGTTTGAGGAGAGCAGGGGAGGCAGAGGTTTCACCACATGGCACGACCCGATTGGCGTGGCTTAGATAATTAGAGTATGCCAATAGCAGGAAGGATAAGGATGTTACATGTTGCATGTTACAACTTCCAGGTTTTATGATCAGTCCACCTTTATCCAAAGCCCACCAAAATCACAAAATTATGTCTATGTAGAAGTATTTCTAAAGTAGGGAGTAGTTTTTTTTAGTAGCGAGAGAGACTTCCGGTTCTAATTTTGCTTCTACTTTGAAAAAAGAAGCAGAAACATAATCTGTTCCAAACACGCTCTTAACCTTAATTACTACATTGTTATCAATTAGTTATTATAAGTGGCTGTCAAAATGAAGTGAACACAAGTGATTTCTTAAATCTTAACTAAGTGAACATGTGTTTCTCGTCACGAAAAAATGTACTATCTACGCCGAAAATAAGTTCTCGCTTTCCAGTTATGGATGTCCCAAAAAGAAGTTCTAATTTCCATAAACGAAAACCACTTTTAACCCAATAATCACAACAACCTTGAGCCCGTTTGGTGACTCCTCTTTTCGACTTATCAGATTTATCAGCCATCTTTTTCACCAAACATGTAATTTTTGACTTCGCGCGTTGAATTTTGTAATAAGCAAAAAAGTAAGGTTGGAGTTTATTTTCTGACTGTTTTGGCTGAAGTTAATGTAGAGGATCATTTTAGCTATTTTTACATATAATTTTTTATTTAATTTATTGATAACAAATATTTTAAATATAATTTTTTCATGAATCAGCAGAATCAGCCAATACAGCCACTTCAACCAAAACTTCATAAATTTTAACAAAATCAGCCAATTTTAGTATTACCAAACGGGCTCCATATTTTTTATCCACGTTTTGCTTATTTAACATAAAGTAAGATGTACTTGGAAAATCAATTGAGAACTTCATTTTGGAAGGAAGGTAGAAGTATTTATAAACATTTGGGTATGTTTGGCAAATGGCTTATCAGCCAGCTTTTAGCTTGTTTGACCCATTTCAACTGTTTGATTAGTCAAAGAAGCTAATAATAATGTTTGGTAAATGGCTTTTAAAATTAGCTTGTTGAGTTTGAAAAGCTGAAAAAATGGATTGTGGAAGAAGCTAAGGGGAGCAGCTTCTTCATTTGGCTGGTTCAATTTACACTCTATCAGCCATTTCGAAAGAGCCAATTTTACCAAACAGTTATTTATAATCAGCCAACATAATCAGTCGGTCAAAACAGCTAACACAACCAGCTGTTGCGAAACAGCTGACACAATCAGCTACCAGCAACAGCTAACAACCGTTTACCAAACAAGGCCAAAAGTGCATCCACATTTTAAACACTTTTTATTTGAAATGCACATAGGCATTTATATGTATGTATATTTATAGATTGCATATGTATTTACTCTCGTATATGTTTACTTGTATATACGTACCGGGAGAATATTGAACTTGAGGGTGTGAAATCCCAGGAAGTATGGAGCAGATGAATCCATCTGCCATGATCTGAAAGGACTTGAGATCATTCTCCTTTCCCATTAGGACTTCCTATTATATCAAACATAATCAAATAAATTTTTTATTAATACGAATTAGAATGAGTACTAAGAACCGGTGGGGTAGCTCAACTAGTAGCAAAGGAGTGTCACAAGGGTTATGTCCCAGATTCGAATCAGGGCAACTACGATGAGGGGTAACTATGATAAAAATGCATAGAGCTTCTGCAAGTACCGGGGACAGAGCTTTACTCTCTATCTGTCAGATTGGGATTATAGTCCAATTTACATCCTCCCAACGTACCGTCCGGTCGGGGTTGGGGGCCCTCAAGGATGGGGTGTTCTCCTTTTTAGAATGAGTACTAAGACCAACAATAGTCTTAATTAATTGTGGTCATAACTAATAGCAAAAGTCTACATCTCATTAAATTGCTTCAAAATGAGACATGCAAGCATGGCATTTAGTGTGTGTACATTGGTCAAAAACATTAAAGCCAGGAAAACAAGAAAAAACAAATCTTTTTAGTATCTCGACAGTAACCATGATTATTTTAAATTACAAAGTTTTAAATCGTAATTGTGATGGATGAATTTGTATACAAATTTGTCAAAAGTCAATAGGAAATATGTCATGTGAGTGTTCAGAATCTTTAGCTCAACACCATTTTAGAGTAAAGTCACAGTCACACTTTTAAACATTTTGCTATTGGATGGTACTATAAATATAAGAGAAATAAGTGGTGCAAAGAAGCCCTCTCTGATCTCTTCTGTCTGTCTGGAAAGATAGTAGAAAAAAACTGTCCTTCCCCCCTCTTTTTGCACATGTTTTTAGCAGACACTTTTGAATGGAGAGATAGAGAGAGGAATATATCATGTTAGGTTTTCCTTTAACAAGATAACAATTATTCATGTATGGTTCCCATTGATTTAGTTAAATCTTTATTAATGTGGGTAAAAAACGTGTCAAATAAAAAAGATCACTACATTACATCTTGACACAACGTTTAAGGGAGAAACAATATAACTAATGAATAGTGTATAAAAAGTAGAAAAGATTGTGAAAAACTAAGAAAGAGAAGATAGAAAGTAGAAAAAGTAAGGGTAACTGAGTATTTTCAAAGGAAAAACTTACCAAAAAAGAAAAACGTAGAATAGTTAGAATACATCCAAATAGGAATGTGTAGTAAACTTTTAAATACGAAGATGATATAAATTTGATTTGTAAAATTATTTTCTATTTACATGACTCAAAAAAACATTTGTAAGATAACATGTTAAATGTGAAAAGGACAAAAATAAACCAACACTCAGGTTCTAGTATAAATTGTAACATGAAAAGATGACATAATTCGTCATAAGGAAAAGTATAAATTCTGGGAGTATTAAATTTGTATAACTCTAAATAAAGTGAAACCAACTAAATTAGAATCATAAAATGATCATTAACCTTCCAGCTTAAACATGGTCAAGTAATGTCCAAATTAAGACTATTAGGTGAGTAATCCACACATAATCTTCCCCAATTTGGTGGTTGTATAATATGTACATGATTAGCACCTACATTACTAATAATATCCACCATAAAAAGTAGTTGCATCTTTTTAGTTTTTTTCTTCCTCTTTGGATCCAGCTCCCTAGTTAAGGAAAATTTCCAAGACTGTCAACAGTGAAGTGAGAGGAGGGGGTTCACATGAAGCCCCATACTATATGGAGAGAATCATGTGCCATTAATCTATACGCAATGATCCAGCAATAGAAAACACTATTGCAATGATCTTTGAACAAAGCTTGAACTATTTTAAAGAAGTGGGGCCAAGTACATCCAAAACTAGGGCCCACTGTTGATGGGATCCCCACTCCACAGAATAGTGGAGAAGAAAAAATAACATCCCATCACACTTATCCAGTCCCATTCTTCACCATGTGATTGGGAGACATCTTCCTTTAGAAGTCAAGAATCCTAAACCAAGACAGGACAGGAAGAATAAAGGGTGCGGATTGCCTTATGTGGACTAAATTTTGATTAAATAGATCTACTGGTATTGGTTAACATGTAAATGTAAACTTACTAACTTCAAAATAGGAAAATAAAGGCTGTGGATTGCCTTATGTGTACTGCTATTATTCATCTTAAGAGGTTTGACTGATGTTTGGGTGATGCTGAAATTACTAAATTATACTCCCTCTTTTTTTACTCCGGAATCAAGGTGGGGAGATTTGGGGGCCTGCAGTAATTAGGTTTGAAACTCACTCCATTTAGTTTCAAACCCTCATGTGTATAGCGAATTTCAAACTGGAGACCTCCCATTAGGCACGTTAATCTCCCAACCAGCTGGGCTGGAATGTTTGGTTGTACTCCCTCTTCTTGAGAAGAACTTTACACTTTGATTTGTACAAATACTTATGCAGTATAAAGTTTTTTTTTTGAAATTTCAATTATCTTTTGACTTTATGTCGTATTTTCTAAACTTGACAAGTAATTACTTCTATTTTAGAAATAAAAAACATAACGATACTATTTTGAAATTTTCAAACTATTTTAGTCTTATTTCAGAAACTTTCCATAACATGTTTAGAGTATTTGAGAAAAATAAAAGTATAGTTAAAAATGAAGAATCAAACTAACCTTGGAAATGAGGACATTAATACCGGCATGTTTGTTATCCCATCCGAATTCATTGATGGTTTCTCCGGCTCTCAAAACGACCTCGTTATTCACAATGTATTCTCTGTACAACCGTCTTCTCGATGCTTTGTGCAACCACGCGGCGGCCCACAGCAGTTCATCCTATTTTTTTCAACCCAGTAAAAATATAAATTTACCTTTCAAAGCTGTAAAATACTTGAAATAAGGTGGAAAAACTACAAAATATTTACCTGGTAGCCATTGAAATCACAGTAAAAAGGGCAGACAGCGTTTAACAGGCTGGAACTGTACGCGCCGCGGTGAGTGTCAGCAAACTCGAATACCTAACAAATTAAGCAAAAGATTTTTATTTGTTTATTCTTGAGATCGGAGAATCAATCGTAGGTAGAAGAAAATACGGAGTATTTGTTACTCCCTCCCTTCCTATTAAAACTTCCAAATAGGTTTGACACACGGTTTAAGATAGTGGATATTTTATGATGGAGAGTTGTGCAGAGGAGAGATAAATCTGTAAGAAATGTTGTGAACCACAAATTCTTTACTGAAAAAGGAAAGTAAAAGTTTTAATTGGGACGGACGAAAAAAGAAAATTGGAATATATAATAGGAACGGAGGGAGTAATTAATATTGAGAATATAATATACGGAGTACTCCCTATTGAATAAGTACATTCCATACCATAGCACGAAAATCGATCATTTATTTAATCTTACACATAACTAACACGAGAGTATATTATACTATTAGTATACTCCATAATAATGAGCGTACGAAAAGATAAAATTAAAGCAGTATATTTTGACCAACTGTGAAACGCAACAGAAATGGAATATTCATCCACTGTTCAAGATTTTTTTTACTTTAGCATTGTCTAATGAAACTCAGTTAATGGAGCTCATAGATTATACTACGTATTTTTTAGGTGAATTTTAAAAATAAATTTCAGAAGACACCAATATATTTCTAAAATACGGTCTAATAATCTTAACTTCTAAAATATTACTCCGTATATTTTGAGAATAACAAAAAGTGGAAATGGACATTACGAGAACAATCTTTGTGTTATTGTTGTAAAAGGAAAATTGTTTTGATTAATACTCGGTAATCCATCATAGAGAAACACGAGTATTAATAAAGATATTGAAAGCTTATTTATGAGGGATAAAAAGAAAACACAAAATTCATACTCGGCATTAAGTAGGAAGGAAAGGAGTATAAAACAAAAAAACATGGCCCACTTCGAACATACTCGTACAATTTTTAACATATACGGAGTAGTTAAGAGAACAACTAAATGCAAAAAAAAAAAATGCATTATTCTGGCAATAATAATATGTATGGAATGTTTTTTTTACTTTTTGAGATTTAATTAACTGTTAAACAGGCATTCATATTGGAACACATCAATTAAGTTAAAAGAGTTAGAATGCTCCAAATTAATTTGCAGACATTACTCTATTTTGCAATGTCTCTACATGAAGTAGAAATGTGCACTAACGTAATCATCATTAACTTAAAAGAAAAAATTGCAAAATTAGTAGGACAATAAAAAACGAAAGTAGACAAAGTTTTAATGAACAAAGACTAACTTTTTATGAACTTTGACCGACACATACATTACTAAACTAAAGTAATGCTTCATATATTAAAGGTGAAATTCATACCAATAATCCATACTTTTATGATTCTATAACAATAATCTCTACTGAAAAAGTCAATACAAATAATCCAAACTCGTAAATGCGTCTACATATATAGATTAAACCTTCATAGATAGATTATTATGCACTTCAAGAAAATAATTATAGTAATGATATAAAAATACTAAACTCAAATTTATGACAATGATGAATAAAGTCAATACTATATCCTTATATATTAAATATCAAAAAGATTAATCTAATCTATGTAGCCGTGTTTATGAGTATGAATTATTTATATAAACATCTTCAGTAGAGATTAATATTGTAAGACCGCTAAAAGTATGGATTATTGGTATGAATTTCGTCTATAAAAAGAAATTCTCATTTTTCAAAAAGGAGAACAACTTTAACTAAAAAAGTTAAAAAATTACAATTATTTTTACTTTTTATTTAATTAGACATATAAACAAAAAGCAAAAAAGACACTATGTTACATGGATACATATGTAGTTTTTTTACTTCAATCCTCAATCCTCATTATGTTTACTTATCACTCATTATATGTGTACTTTTTTTTGAATATGCAAATGAAAAAGACATTTAATAGTGTATGTTTGAGAGAGACCAAGGCATGACTTACTCTAACGGCGCGATTGAGCAATAACCTAGAGTATGCAGGGTCACGTGACCGGAACACGATAGACGCGGCGGCGAGGGCTGCCGCCGTCTCTCCGGCAACGTCCGACCCCGGATTGTTCCGGTCAATCTTGTACACCGTCCTCGGAGTATCCATATCCTCTGGCCTTTCCCAGCACCGGTGGTCGGAAAACGCATCCCCAACTTGAACGTACAAAACTCCGTCGACTGCGGTGGCCTTCAGCAAATAGTCCGTCGCCCACCTCACCGCCTTCACGGCGTTTCCCACCTCGCCGCCCATACTCCTCCCAAAGTCTATTATGCTCCACGACAGTAATGTGGTGGTGAACGCCATCGGAAACCCGAATTTCACGTTGTCCCCGGCGTCGTAGTACCCACCTGTCAGATCCACCTAAAGAACAGAGCAAAGCATCTTATCGATTTAGGTTTTAATTCCATTCGAATATAATCATAAAAGAAACGAAACCCAAAAAATCATTCTTGAATCTTGAAATATGTATAAGTTATTATATCAAACACATTCCTCAATTAAATTTCCGCAATTAGAGGCGGAGCAAGAAAAACAAAGGAATTAATTTACAAAACTCCGTAGTGGGGATTATGGAGGCTAATACTTACTCCGGCAGTGGCGCCGTCGTGCAATGCCGAGTCTTTCCTCCACCGGAGGCGTTGATCTGGCGGAAGCCGTCCCGAGCGTTGGCCTTCGAAGAAGAGGATGCTCTTCCTAAGCGCGTCGCGGTAGTTTTGACCCCCGGCGGAACAATGACGGAGACTGCTGAGATAGGAGACGGAAAATAGGAAGAAGATGACGGAGATGGACCGGTAAACTGACGGGAAAGTGCATCGGGTTGGCGCCATTTTTGGTTTCTCGGAAGGGGATAAAGAAGCTTTGTGTAAGAGTGCGGTTTTTTATAGAAGGATTTTTACCGTTGGTTCATCGGATTCTTGGGGAACCTCGAACGAAGATTCGGCACGTGGCAAGTCATGATTGGCCGCGTCTATAAACCCGATGAATGATTTGACCTCAACCAAAACACCTTTGACCAGTTTTGGGTTGGACTGGATTAATGTAAATGGGCGTTGGGCCGGCATGAAACGAAATGAATGTGAGCGAGGTTTGGATTGGATGGACAACCGTTAATTTTCTCAGGTGAAACGTGGACGGCGTGAAAGTAAATGAGGATGGGCCCATATCCAGTAGGATACCAGGTGGGGCAGTTATGGGCAGGCTGAGTTGGTTTCTGAACTAATTTCGCCCATAAAAGTTTCTAACATAAACTGTGTGAAGGTCAGCAATTACGGTGTATTCGATATTTTTCATAATAAAATGTTGAATGAACGTGAAAATTTGGAACCCGATTTGCAATACATGGTAATTGCAAACCATAAATAAAAAGCAAACCAAAGATTATTGGTAACATAATACTCCGTATGAAAAAATGAAACAAATTTTAACAAGGGAATAGGAAGCAACAATTATATTCCCAAGCTGTGCTTTAGAAATCTCATACATCGTTGAAACTTTGGTGTAATCATAACAATAATCCCTACTTTTAAGTACGGAGTATTTTGCAATAATAATCCTTATTTAGAGTGTCCAAAAAAATAGGAATTACCAATTGTGTTCATAAGAATAAATTGAGGGGAATTAAAATTAATGTCCATTTATTACTCTCCATCTTTACTCTCTCTTTTCTCTTTTTCACTCTTCTTCTCAGAGAAAATTCAAACTAAAATCCGTCTAATATCAACAATATTTCCGTCATATGTGGTTCTCTTTATGTTTAACTGTAAAAGTGTTAACGTAACCAAGGCGGGGAGTGATCAATGAGAAAGTAGATGTAAGAAATGGGAGTATTAAATGGACATCACTTTGAATTCATTCTAATTTATTCTTGTGGACACTATTGTTAGGTCGAATTATTTTTATGAAATCTCTCAAAAAGGATTATTATTGTAAAATCTATAAAAGTAGGGATTATTCTTGTGAATTTTGCCTAAAATTATAAAATAGTTTAACAAATAAATGCATTTTTTAGTTTAACACATAAGTGCGTATGTATGTGTATATATATATATATATATATATATATATATATATATATATATATATATATATAATAATACGCCGTCTATTGAAACAGATAGGAATTAAGGTAAAATGGGAGCACACGCGTATAATTCTCCAATTTCGAGATTCTTCCACTATACAAAAGAATAGTAGGATTTACAAATTGTATCACTCTATGTTGGCTCACTCAAGCTATTTATCTTCTCTCTCAAAGAGACTCTCTAACTTTCTCACTCTGAGAAGTTGATTCACTCTTGGATAGGATTGTTAGGAATGAAGTCTCATGTCCCTATTTATACTACTCCAACTTCACAATGAATGATGGGGATGATCGATTTGTATCCAAGGGTAGAGATTGATTCTCTAGAATGCTCCACAGACTCTATGAGTCTATATACTCTCACACACCCTTTCCGTACCCTTCCATAAGGTTCCGGAAGGTTCCACACATCACCATAATATTCCACAACTTTCCACACTATTCAACAAGCTTCTAGAGAGTTCTAAACTTCTTTAGGATTCTCCGGAACTTTCTAGAAAATTCTACACTTCTCTAGAAAGCTCTAGAATTTTCTAGAATCTCTCCGATTAAGAAGAGATCCCAACAAATCTCCCCCTCCCGACTTAATTGGGGGGTAGAAGAAAACATGCACCTTGACAACAATATTCAAACTTCTTTATCGGTATTACCTTAGTCATCATGTCTGATCAGTTCTCGACTGTAGGAACCTTGTCAAGATGCAATTTCTTTTCCTCGAGAATTTCTCGGATCCAATGATACTTTGTGTCAATGAGCTTCGTACGGAAATGAAATGTTGAGTTCTTTATTGATCCATTCCCAACTCGATCAACATGTTCTTCATCCACAACATCTCATTGAAAGCTTCAGTAGCTGGGATGTACTCTACCTCTGTGGTGGATAATGCGACACACTTTTCCAGCTTTGATTGGCAGGAAACAACCCTCCTGCAAAAGTAGTTAGTTATCCCGATGTTGATATCCTTGAGTCAATGTCACCGACTAAGTCTGCATCCGTATATCCTTCTAACATGGATTTTCCTTTTCCAAAGCATATGCATCTTTTGGAAGTTCCACGTAAATAACGGAGGATCCATTTGTTTGCTACCCAATGCTCACTCTCAGGGTTGGCCGAGAAACGACTAACGACTCCAACTGCATAGGCAATATCTGGTCTTGTGCATATCACTGCATACATGAGACTGCCTACTAGAGATGGGTATGAAATCTTCTTCATTTCCTCATTTTCTTTCTCACTTGTGGGACTATGCTTCGAACTCAACTTGAAGTGTCCAACAAGTTGTGTATTTATCAGCTTTGATTTGTTCACGTTAAATCATTCCAACACTTTCTCAGTGTACCTCTCATGGGATAGCCACAAAAGTCTCTTTGATCTATCACAAGATATTCTCATCCCAAGGATTTGTTTAACTGACAAAATTAATTATTACTCACACATAATTAATCTATGATTTAGGTGACACAAGATATTCAAATCCCAAGGATTTGTTTAACTGACTAAGATGTGTGGGTACTTAGCCACATATATTTGTTTAAATTAAGTTAGTTACATATATCAAATGTGGATAACTGTCTTATGATAGTTACTGGCCAGCAGTTCATCAGTGGTCATGGTCACTAGTAGTAGTCATCTCACTGCCCATGCTCCGAAAAAAGTTCACTGATAAGGCGATGGTGAGTGACAACATTGGTCACTGTCCGGGGGTGGTTAATGATTGACGGTTCATGACTCGGTCCTTGTCACTGATAGTAGTCACCTTAGTTGGATGGGTATAAAAGTCACTATTGTATTTTTTGTCAAAATTCCATCTTTATTTAACGTCATAGTTTTACTAGTCACAATATGTACAATACATGAAAGTAGCTGATTTAGGAGCTGTTTTGCTCATCTTAATTCAACTGCTTATCATTTATTCATATTTTATTCAAATTAAATCAGATCAAATATAATAAAAAAATTCAAATCGTGATGGAGTTATGGGACTAGGCTCAAAGCCTAATCGAGCCAAACCCCGAACATGGACCAACAGGCCAAAACCCAGCGACCCAGAGCTCGAGCTAGCCCAACCGATCAGGCCCATAAAGGAGCGGAAGCCCAAGACGGCATGCCTTCCAGCCTAGCCAACAGCCTGCCTTCAACCCAGCAGGGTGCCTGCCCTCAGCCCGGCCAGCGGTCTGCCTTCCAGCCCAGCCAGGAGCCTGCCTCCAATCCAGCATGAGGGAGCTCAAGTGTCCGACCTGCCAACCAAGAACAGTAACGGCTAGAGCAATTAATGCGCGACTTAATTATGTATTTAATTCTATATTAATGTTGTAATTAATTAGCCATTAGTGTATTTGACAGTTACCATTTCTAATCGCCTATAAAAAGCAAGTCCGATTCAAATAATGGATAAGCTATCCTTGGCAACTAAACTTCTTTAGCACTTACCATTTTCGTATTGCTTTCTTGATTTTCTGCTTGAGTGTAGTACGTAGCATTCCTAAAAGCCTACGAGCGTCCTATTCTGGATCAGCATTGGTTCTTTCATTGAGATAAGGAGCTCCGTGCTGAAACCGCCTCGAAAGACCAAGAGGAAAGCTCCCCATCAAATGGAAAGGTCCCTTCATGATCAGACCCCGATCAATTCCAAAATATGGGATTACGACTTCAACGTGTTCCACTCACATTATGAAAATTCTCCTACTTTGCATACGAAATTTTGTCTTCAAAAGAGGTCCGACCTCACTTAGCAATGAAGGGCGGCGACAAAAAAAACGCAAAAAAAAACAGGTACTAGGCCCCCTCGGTGTTTGGCCGATCTCGGCCAGGCTCTTGAACTGAAAGTAGCCAAGCGATTTTCGAGAATCCGAGCAATTTTCTAAAGTAAAGAGCTCTAGGTCGAGGGTGCTCAGGATGCTGACCTCCAGGTCCTTTCGAGTGCTCGCCACCTAATATCGCTGGTCAAGCAGCTCGCACTCTCGTCATCCCCGAGTTGGTGGATCGTGCAGGGTCCGCCCCTGTTGTTTGGCTATCCCTGCGGGAGTAACCAGATTATTCCCCAAGTCCGGGTAAACTGGATGGGTTAAAGCGACAGTAGGACTGACCCCCAGGTCATGAACGTTCAAGATGCCGACCTAAGGGTCCTCCTCGTAGGTTCAATGTCCGACCTTGCTGGGCGAACAAATCACATACTTGTTGATTCCATATCAACAGCGAACAGGGTCATCTAATGAAATCGGAGGGCCCAACTCCAAACATAAAATCGAGGCCCCACATTAATATGAAATTAAAAACATCTCAATCCAAATACTTAAACTTAAATCAATTGAATATTCATTAAATAATGTAATAAAAAAATTCTAAAACTTACTTAATACTTGATTTAATGTAGCTCAACTCATTATTCAAACAATTTGAGTAAAAGAAAACTAAAAAGACCAACGAAAATGATGGATCTATATTTTTCTTCTTACTAACTGTATTTTACATATTAATATTAATATACGTTAATACATTATTATTATATAATACTAATAAATTTTTAAAATTTTGGGGCCCCATAAATCTGGGGGCCCTGTTCTGGATAACCTATTGACCCCCCTAAAGAACGGTCTTGACAGCAAACAGATCACTTCTATCCGACCGGGAGGGGCACGGATAGGCTCGGCCACACCAGCCTAATTAACCGCCCCCTAGGAGGTTAGAGAAGCCGGATCCCTGAATAAATTGCTAAATATTTGTAATGCAAAGTATAGAAAAAGAAACATATGAATTCAAAATTACTTTAGTCAAATGTCACATCAGTCAACTACATGCTACAA